GTTCTCAGTGTTTGCTGTGTATTTCCCACTGCTTATTTGCGTTAAATCATTCTGAGTGCCAGATGGGGTATTCTCTACTGCAGTTGATATATTTAGACTTGCTCCTCTTCATTACTTCTGAACAATTTTTATCATTGTGATTCTTCCTTCCTCAGGGAACCACACTATAGCCCCACCATGAATGGCCATACGTCGGGCCAGAAGTGGATGCGCAGCTCAGAAAAATCCTTTGCAATGAGCTGAGTCTTCTCAAGAGTTGCCACCTGGATTCTGTTTTCTCTCTCTGTGTACATAGAAATCTCTCCAGCGTAGCACGTCTCCATGCCCTTCGGGAGGTTTCTGAAACACGGGCGCTGCCCGTGTTTTCTCCGGGACGTTAAACCTATACATACATACATACATACAAAGCACTCATACACTGAATGGTTAGAAGTCTTAATGCCAGGGTGTATGTATGACTTCTGTATACAGATCACTTCATAACCCTGCTCAAAAGCAAGCTGCAAAGCTGCTGTGTGACAGGGGGCTGCCCTGGCTGTATTTGCCCAGAAGACCTACAGGGGGCGATTTTTCTGCTGATTATTTTTGCAGCACCAACTGCGTTGCTGATGTTGATGTTTTAGTATGAGGAGTTATTTAATGAGCTGCTGCTGAAGTTCATCTGTGGAATGAGGTTGAAAGGCTTCAGACCTGGTATCTGCATGCTGAAGTTAAACTGTTCTTTAATTACTTGACTCTGCTGCTGCACTGCTGTATGAGCTGAGCATCATCTGATGCAGACCATCTGCCAGGTAGCACCCTCCTCACTGATAAAACTCTGAGTAGCCAGCTGCTTACAGGGTACTAGCTCAGCGGGCTGTGTTGACTGGGTTGACTGAGTGGTTGGTGTAGGTACCACCACTGCAATCATTGGTGCTGGCTGTGCTGGCGGCGGTTGTCACTCCTGAGCATCCCTGTGGCACCTGTCGCCAAGGCGGCGAACAGCTGCTAGCTCTTTTTGAGTTAGGCGCCTGAGGGTGCCATTCACGCGCCTGGGTGCGGCAGGGCAGTGCTGATGCCCAGCTGGGTAGGGTTGGCAGCAGTTGGCACATCTTGGCGCTCTCTTGCACTCCGCGCCTGTTGGCCCCTCATGCTGGCTTGTGGGCTCACTGCAGTTGGAGTATCTTGCCAGTCGCACACACTTTGGTGGGTGGCAGAACCCCTGGCATCCTAGGTTATGTCTCACTGCCAAAGGCCTTTTCTCAATCAGTCTGACCCTCTCACTGGCATTGAAGAGTGAGAAGCCTTTTACTGGGGTAAGGAAGGAGACAATCCATGTAATCTTCCCTGTCTTGGGGTTCACCCCATAATGTGAGGGTAAACAGCTGACTGGCTTTATCTTTGTTTGAGTCAGAACCCCTTTCTCAATCATCTTGTCTGTGGGGATTCTTACCCCTTTCTAGTCCTGGATAAATTCTGAGATCTCTGAGACAGTATAATTGTATCACTGCTCTGATAGCTAAATCTCTGTGGTGTCAAGGACTTCACAGAGAGTAGCCACCGCCTTCTCAGTGATCAGAGCATTATGTATGCCTCTGTTGCTTGATGTGATCGCCTAACCTGTCCTGGTGGGCTCCATCTTCAGCACATTGGCCACATCCCCCATCCTCTGAATGTTTGCAATGATTGCCTGCTGTATAGCATATGACTGTAGCCGGGCGATCTGTTTCTCTGACTGAAAAATGATGAGGACTCATAAGTCCTTTTCCTGTTTTATGCCCTCTATGAAGCCCCTTGACTGACTGATGCTTTTGAGCTGCAGGCTAGCTCCACTAGCCCTGTCTGCTGAGAAAGCCGCAGACTTGGCAGGGGTAACCTTAGGGAGGACAGAGTTTTTCCCCCTCTGAGCAACATCTACTCATTTGCTGCATTTGACTGTGGATGAGTATCCTAGCCCTGTCTGCTGAAAAAGCCGCAGTCTTAGCAAGGGTAACCTCAGAGAGGGTAGAGTTTTTCCCTCTCTGAGCAACACCCACTCAGATAGTCAGCTCTTTCACAGCTGTCTTTGCTGCATTTGACTGTGGATGAGTATCCAGAGCAGCACTCTCTCTCAGAATTGATGCTGCACTCAGATCTGCTATCACATACTTGATAAACCTCTCACAGAAGATTCAAGCAAAGTTCTAACTGATTAACTACTTTTTCTTCTCAATTCAGCTGTTCAGAGTCTTCATCAATCCGATAAGAGCTTTCTACTGCAGATTCTGTTACTGCTGAGCCTCCTCAAACTGCTTCTGCAGCTGAGAGATGGCTGTGGAAATGCTGTCGCTGGCTTCTTTGAGAACTGGGGGAGGCATTGTGACAGTCTTCCTCTGCCTCTTGCCAGCCTTTTCAGTGACATAATTGGCCGGTGACTCCGGCTTCAGTGGCCTGGTGTAGGCCGTGTCGATGTCCTTGGGCGGACGGGAGGGCGTTGAGGGCTCCATGACCACTCAATCTGTGCAGTACACACACGTAGAGAAATCGCAGAGGGCGTGCGATGATATTGAACGGGTTGGGGGGTTAAAATTATACAAAAAACAGTTGGAAAAGTGGAAAATTCAAATGTACCTCTACGTTTATGGGTAGTTATAAGGATGAATAAGACTGTTTTGAAGGTTCAGAGTGTCAGCATGACATCCATCTCAATCAGCAAAAGATTAATAAAATTCAATTATGTATATTATATATTAAAATTATCAGCCAATCTCATCTCTGCTGAGCTTATGAAACATCAAAGCTATATTCACTGTGATATGCATGTTGACACTGGAAATTATTTTGAGTTTTTATTTTTTATTAATAGCAATGTGTTTTATGCCAACCTTTTCTGCAATAATATCTACATCCTTTTCAACAATCCTTTAATATTCAATGGCATAATGAATGATCTGGTATATGGCGGAGTCATTTACATGGTGATTTTTAAATCTAGCGCTATTTCAACTGAATTTGATCTGAATGATAAATCCTTTATACCCTTCAGCTACTCAGAGGTTGAACAATTAATCAATTTAAAGAATTCAGATACTGACTTCTTTATTATTTCTCCACCTGCCTGATTGCCTGCCATTATTCCGAAGCAACTCCCGATTGATAAGTGGCATTGCTGGCTTGGTCATATCAGTGAAAATAATTTATTGAAAATGGTCAGGGACTTCTGATTCAGCATTGCCATTATCAATCTGAAGAAGCTTTCCTTTTATGTCACATGTATCAAGATCAAGCAGAAATGAGCTGTTTATAAAAATTTGAACCCTCATCATACCATCTGTAAAGCTCTTAAGATTTGGGTGGATATTTTCGGTGCAGGTAAGACTTTTAGAATCAAAAATAAAATATCCTTTTATGCTGGCAAGAAACTTGCCATGGTTATAACTGATGATGCACGTGTATGAGGTGGATATTTCTCTTAGAATGTAAAGATGAAACATTAAAATATTTATGGATCTTCAACCAATTCATCAAGAATTTGCTGAGCTGTAGCATTGTGATTATACACTCTGATCATGGTGAATTGAATTCGAACATGGCTACAGCTTATATGCTCAGTGAGGGAATCAAATGAAAACTGATTCTTTCTCATACTCCGCAGCAAGATGATGTATCTGAACATTCAATCAAATTAATCATTAAAAAGATCTGATCTCTATTAATAGATTCTTCTGCTTTTGAAAAGATGTGGGGTAAGGTGGTAATTGTGATCATGAAACTGCTAAATCTACTGATTTCAACAATTTTATACAGAGGCTCTGAAAATATGAAGCTGATTATTTTATATGAAGCATGGGTTGAAGTGTTTTTATCAGCTTTGTCACACCCTTGGTTGTGCCAAGGCCCCGTAACGGCTCCACACGGCCCATCGTTTCCCCTCGGATAATCCCATCTATCCTATGACGTCACGCAGGTGTCCGAACCGGTTTCCAACCACCTTATGACATCATTCGGATGCAATAAAAGAGGATCCGATTGATGAGATATGAGAATCCTGTTTCTATACGGGGTCAGTGGATTCCTTCTGGCAGATCAATGCAGCGCCACTGCGGAGTTGCTTCAGCTACCCTCGCTCATAGAGTGAGGGGAGGATGGCTGCCCGTTGTCTATATAGAATAGCTAGATGCTGGCTCTCTATTCCAGGAGCCAGCGATTCGTCTTTTATCTTTTGACAATAAGATACCAGAGTTACCACTGTCCTCATACAATATTCTTAGTGTGCTGAGTACCTCTGGTAGTTCAGTATTTGTATAGTATTCTACGAGTTCGCGGTTACCACTGTCCTCATACAATATTCTTAGTGTGCTGAGTACCTCTGGTAGTTCAGTATTTGTATAGTATTCTACGAGTTCGCGGTTCAAGCGAGATAATCAAGCCCACCCATAAGGCTTCCCATTATATACCATCCTCCTCTGTGCCGCTGCCGAGTAGCAACCGCCTCGGCGCCGTCACATTATAAGCTTGTAGAATTCACTGCTGGAGCTGCAAGGCATTTCTTAAAATAATGTCTAAACTCACAAATATGATGGCCTTCCATTTCTTAGAGCTTATTTTTGTTGATTATGATGGATTCACTAATTATAGATTGATTGATCCTTTCAATGAGTGTCTATATATATTCAAAAATGTCATTTTTCAGAAAAATCTTCATCTTGCTGATCTGACTGCCTCAGCTATTAAAAATCTGAAAGCTTTGTCTACAGCTGTCAAGCAGACAGCCGCAGCAATTTCTTCAGTTGTCAATTTGAATGAAAAGTTTATTGTAAAGAAAATTCAATCTGTGCATCTGTTATTTCTAGTACCCATCAATAATTGATAAATTGATTATGAAATTTCAGTGAGAATATCTATCTTTTTGATGCAAAATACCCTGATTTTTCCGGATCCTTCAATAAAAATAGAGAATACCTCGACATCTACAGAGAATATTACTGCAGTTGAAAAGTTTTCAATGAAAGATAACTCTGAAGCTGAAGACTTCTTTTCTGATTCTGAAATTGCAGATTTACTAATTTTAAAAAATCTCATATATATCAAAGCTTTCTCTGAATGAAAGTTCTATTATCATGTCTGTATCAAAGAGATTAATCACTTAAAGCAGATTGAAATATTGAGTGATTGATTGAAAGAATCTTTAATATGACAGTCTCAGA